ACAAAAATTAAAGCTTATGCCTATGTATATTAGTTTTAAAACAGAGTAGAATAAGGCACCTATAATCTAGATTAGGCATTGATTAGTGTTTATAAACTAAACATGGATGAACCACTAAGTCAAGCTACTAATCCAGTTGTTCAGGCTAGGCTAAACTGAACTCTGAAAGCATCCATCTCAAAACGGCCACAACTTAAGAACAGATCCTAGAATTTGATTTATTTTAAACTTTATTTTTCTGAAATAGATAGCTAAACTGTCCAGTGCAATCATCCCACACTGCAAATAGCAACACTCAAACTTAGTTAGGTAAGCTAGTGGTAGGTTACAACTAATTATTATCCCTGTGACCGATTCAGTGTAACATCTGACATCAGTCAGAATCAGACGACATTATTGACAACGACACTCGTCGTGTCGTTTCTTTAATTTACGGTATAATATAGTATAAAACATCTACCATATCCATAACAATGTTCTACCACTGCACCTAAACAGCAGAAAAAAGCAAATCACCAAATTCAAATCACCAAGATTCGCACAATATGACAAATTATTTATAAATTAAAAACAGTATATCTTCTGTGCCAGTAGTTAATGCGTGATTGAACTTCAAACAAACAAACAACAAACACACAAACTTTCACATTTATAATATTAGTAAGATAAGATGTATTAATTAAATATTAATTACTAGCTGTGTGCCCGTTCTACGCACGGGGATCCTCTAGTGGTCAGTTGAAACCTTCCTAAATAAAGAAAAACTATTGGTTTGCATATTTTCAGATATGCTAGCCAAACTATTATATACAAACAAATACAGTATCTGACAGTTTCAAGTAAAAAAAAATGCGTAATAGATCTATGAGGGGTACACTTCCATATCTGTTGGCACAAACAACTAAATTAGTAATATTGATTATTCGATTGTTTAATTCCATATATCGTTTGGTTAGTTAGGTTAGGTTAACCTTACCTAACTAACCAAACGATATATAGTTAAAATACTATACCTCAACCTCGCCATTAAACATTCAGGTTGGAAATTTCACTATCAAAGGTGCTCTTGGCCTGTCCGTACGGAACACTGAGTTATATGCGCTGCCAACTTATGAATAATTGTTTAAGCCTACGAACCCAAGAGATGGATAATTGGTCTGTTGGACGTATGGTCCAGCGAGCAGCACATAGCGTTGAGAAGACACATTAGAAATACGATTTGAGCATAATCCGTAAACCTCTGTTACAATCACCCACTGCAGTTGTCTCTAAACACTTTACACAACCACCATTGAAGTGCCGTCAACGAGTTGAAACCTTATATGTAAGCTATTGGTAACGCTTATGTAAAAAATGTAAGTTTCCCAGGCATATAGAACACTGAGTCAAAGTCTTTTCCCCGGTTATAAACCCAAAACTCGATAGAAATTCTATACACAAAGAAGCTCTATTTTCATTTACGGTTACCCTACACATTATTGCACTAGCGATTAATTAAATCCGTTATGTAAGGAAAAACGGTTTTAATCCAACTTGGTTTGGATTTGCTTTTGAAACTTGATCTGAAATGATGCGGTATTTGTAAACAATATTCAATTTAAACATATCAGTGACAGCTAGAGAAAAATAATCTTGATCCGAACAGCTGTTCGCTATTTCATATGATGATTATGTGATAAACATTGTGAGAAAACTTAACAAAAATCGCACAAAATTGGGTTTTAAACGTCCGTAAGTTTTTTTTACAAAGTAGCGAGGCCATATTTTAATAGCTAAAGACACTTTCACCAATCCAGTGAATACATTAAAATGATTCGAGGATCTTGATAGGTACTCTCGTTTTCAGGAGAAGGCCGCGTAAAATGGCCTTTGGACTGTGACAGACGGAAGATAGACAACAACGGAATTGAGATAATAATTGATGATTCAGATAATAACGGAATTGAGATGAAACTTTTTTCGGATTCTTGAATGTTTAAAACGTAAAAATAATCTAAAAGTTGATGATTCTGAGCAATGTACAGACAAAACTCTAATTTTATTTATATAGAATAGTACCTGTGGTGATTTTTATTAGAAATTTATTGAAGTAAATAAACAGCAAAGTTAAAAACCATCTGACCAGTGTTTTTATTTAAAAAGTACGTAGGCCTATTTGATTGGCTTTGTTTTCTGAACTAAAATATCTATTTCCTGATCTATTTTTAGTTCCTGTTTTCGAAACATAATTTGGCAAAACAATTATTTATTCATTAAACAACTTGATCGAAAAATAATTTCTAAACATTGGAGGACGATTAAAAAACTTTTGAATTCTAATAAACCTAGCTGCCGTACCTGTGTTTTACATCGGAGAGGATTTTGAAGAGAAAAAGTTTGATACACGTCACATATTTCAAATCCCACTCCAAACACGTCATGTTAATACGTTTACTTCCTTAAATTAAGAATGTCACAATCTCCAATTAACAGGCCCGTAGCAAAAGTTAAAAGTTTCACAAATCGAATCGTTTCTACCTTTTGGACCGCAAAATCAAAGAACTTTATTGACAGCATTTAAAGCTGACTTCGTTAAACATTCTGTTATCTACATTCTTCAAAAATGTAAACATTGTGAAACTTTGGAATCCCATGGGGCGTAACTCAAAGAAAACAAGTTAAATGTAATCGGTATATTTGTTAACCAGGTACAGGGCTACCTCTTGAATTGATATAGATAATAAATCGAAAAATAAAGAAATATAAGTTGATTGATTATTGGCTCTTACAAAAGGGTAAACAATCAAGGAACATGATTTAATTAAGTAACCACACATCACTGAGTCTATATCTTCATTCTTTCTTGTAAAAATCGCTTTGATTGTGGCTATATAAAATAGGGAAGTAATATTTCACTGTACAACGAGCTCAAAAAGCTCGAGAACCAGCAATAAGATGGAAATAACCGGCAGAACCTTTAACCATCCACTGGCTCGCTAGTCGCTACCCCATGTCGGTCGGTAGCCGGGTAGCCCATCAATGGAACCCGTTAGGCTCGCCCCTACCTCTCGCCACAAAAGAGACAAGAATTTTGCCTTGTTCCACACGCCTTTGATTGTTTGAGGCGGGAAAACTATTTGTGTGCTACGGCCCGCGCAACACAGGATATTGTTTTCGTATTAGTTGGCCTTTTTCCAAGATGACCGTGACCGTTAACTTATTTTATGGACTCCCTTGGAGAATAATTCAAAACTACAAAGAACATTTCTAATCCCACAGTATACTAGCTATTTAAATTATAAACACTTTGGTGTTTGAAAAATATTTTTGGACGATAAATTTTGCAGCTTTTTGAAATCATCCAAGATGGCCACTTGCCTCCAAGGACTCAACAATAGGCCTAATTGTGCGACTATAAAGCAATAACTTCCCACCTTACGCTTGCGAATTAGTACGGTACATATTTGTATCCACAGTTGCCAGGACGACTATTAAGACGACCAAAGATTACATTGACATTTAGGTATTTAATCTGTAGAATAGTAATTGTTAAGTAATCTGGAAGACAACTAATTAAAATGATGTGCGAAAGATGGGTTATGAGAGTGCTCAATGCCTGAAGCATAATCCATTTGTTTGAGGTGCGGATTTTCAAGCTTGTAGAACAAATAAATATCACAAAGTAGAAGGGCAGGGGTGAAAGTGACTGAAGTGACGCGATACCCGGGTGGATTTTCAGTGACTGGATTCCAGTGGTATGCGGTAAAATATATAGTGACTGGCTTAGCAGCACAAATTTTACGTGACTGGCTTTCCCATGCAAATGCGGTGGTGACTGCATTAGCATAGCATTTTTTACGTAATTATATTTTAGTATTTTTAAGAAAAAAAGAGATATATACGTTCAGATATGTCTAGGCTTAAGATATTTACCAACATATATTATATATATATCATAGTCTTGAAATATATTGGGGGGTGCAACTGACTGACTTCCAGTGTATATTTCATGAGACTGGCTTCCCGGGCGCGGCCGTGTATATATATATATATATATATATATATATTTATATATGTGTCCGTTAGCGCGATAACTCGAGCAAAATTGATCCGATTTTGATGAAATTTGGTACAAACGTGTAAACCTACATTTATTCGAACGAGTTCGCGAACCAGTATAATCGGACCGTGGGATCAGGGGTTTATGGGGGGTTTTATGGGGTAAAAATGGGTTTTTCTCATTTTTGACCCTAAAAACTTAAAATTTCTAAATTTCTCTCTAGACCATTTTGAAGAGCTTAAAAAAACAAATAATTTAGTATATTGAAGTGTTTTTGAATGTTCATTGACTACGGAAAAAATTTAAAAAATTGTAAATTTAAAATTCCCATGTTATTCTTATGGAGAATAAATAAACTGTTCTAGTTTGCTTGTTTATGGATATATTTTAATCCAATTTGGCAATTTGGTTTATTTCATACTAAGCTATCAATATTTCAATTGAAAAAACACGTCTCAACATCTTCCCCGTAGCAGCAAACCTAACTACTCACTAAAATTAATGTTATTTAAATTTAAATAGGAAATAAATCTGAAAATTTATAGGGAATATTTTAGTAGAAATCAAGCCGGGTAAATGGAAATTCGCTTAGGATGCAGGTTTGCTGCGACGGGGGTATTATCACCGTCGTGGTGCGGCCACAACTAGGATTTTTATTCCATTTCAATAGATATCTGTTTTAGACGGCAATAATCTGTAACAAATCTTTTCCTGAAATTATATAAAGTTTAGGTGTAGTAGGTTGATATTGTATTAAGTGGAAAACATTATGTTCTGATATTATCTTCAATTCTCTGATTTTAGCGAATTTCCCTATAGGGAAGTAGCTATTACCATAGGTGGCATGAAAACCTAGGCCCGGGACCAATTTACTTTTTCATTTTGGTGTCCCCAGAGGCCAAAATTGAGGGATGGGCTTTGTTGATAAATATTTTTACAAAAATAAGATTATTCCCATTACCTGAAGGAGAAAAGCCAGTCAAAGTTGTTGAGTCACAACCAATCACGTTTACACGCTGAAACAGATTAGGTAACAATGAGATTTATTTATGACTAATATTAAAGAGTCTACAGAGGACTTATTAACCTTAACTTTTACTTCAAGTGTTTGGCACAAAAAAACTAATTCTATAACCAAACCAGTTTCAAATTCACCTGGCAATATGGCCAGTGTTTTGAAATAAATGGCAGTCTTTTAAAGTGTTGATTAAGACACAAAATTTTAGAGAATGGTTTAAGCAAAGGTAAAAGGCAAACTCATGGAGGCTTGTTATAGAGTACGGTATAGAAAAACTATAACATCCTTTAGGTCACACCTATAAACACAACTTAAGGTTTTCTAAAACAATGCCACATGTGTACTAGGCCTAATGGAGAGCAATTTTCTTTGGGTTCATCAACCAAGCTGAGAACTGTCAACAAATGTTATTGTAGTAATTTACCTTGGCACTTGCTGGCTGGAACAGTACAAAGCTGACGCCTCTGATCGGTTCACTGTCGCTGGTTACCGAGCCGGACACATCGTAACCGGATACCTGCAGACTGCCGGCCGGCACCACAGTGTTGCCACCCTTCACAGTCACCTGCGACCGCTTCTTGCTCAGGTGCCATCTGTAGTCAACAATATTATAATCAGCAGGTCAATGTTGAACATGTAGCCAAAGATTAAACACACTCCTTTGTAAATATCACCCTTATCAGCAACAGATAATTTAAAGTATGTTTCTCTCTGGTATAATTAAAGTGTTTTGATTGTTACTATAAATTCTTGTAATTTTACCAGTTTTAAAACTAGTAAGACCATGCAGAACGCTTTTATTTGTAAATTACTACTTCTCTGTTAATTTAAACAAAAGATTGACGTGGTCAGCGGCCTATCACTGAGATGGGAACCCCACATAGTGTTCATCATTGTAACTCACTATTGATGATCTAAACAGAGCATGATTCCCTACTTTCCAATAGAGACCAACATTTGAAGGTTAAGAGAGGTAGATCCATAACTAACCAACCAAAATCTGTATCTAGTGGCCTAATAATCTAATTCTAAGGATTTGTACAAGAGAACCTACAAATAGTTAAACTCCTATCGAGTTACAACTGACCTCTCATGTGAAGCCTCCACAAAATACTGTCCTGGCTTGACAGGAGTTAAGAGGAAGTTTCCGTCTTCCCCAGTCATGGTGGATAACAACTCTTCTGCAGACGGAGACGCAGACAATAAACTCACTTTAACCCCAGCTGGGCCAACGGGCTCACCAAAACTTGTCACCTGCAAAACAGTTGTGGGTCATATACACTTTCAAAAACTTTAAAAAAATTTACTATGAGAGTGTCTGCAGCTCAAGTACTCAACTAATTCTTGGACAATGGCGTAGCTAGGTTTAGAGTGTCCTGGAGCAGAAAAGGCTGAAGCCGCCCCCTCAAAACATCAAACATAAACCTGCTTTACCTAAATATCTTCTTAAAGAGGTGGGTTCGTTTTTAAGTCGGCAGTCATTTGTAAATTTTTTTCAGTCTCAAAAAACAAAAAAATAATCGATGGTAAACACTCGGTTTCGGTTTATAGTTATTATGCAATGCTTTTGCCGCAGAATAATAATGATGTGTCTGGGACTACCCGGGACCTTAAAAATTCTGTTGCGATCTGATGATGTCTTGACAATCGCGGGAGATGTTCAGGATTATGCACAATTATGGGATATGTTGATAATGTTGCCCTGATCACATACGCCGATAATTATGTCTTCACGATCATGAAAGATGGTCAACATTTCATAGGATCTGATACGATGACGATGTTTTCACCCTTCGCGGTCTTGTTGAAGATTGTTTTATGACTGTGGAGGACGATGACGATGTCCTCACGATTGCAGGAGATGTTACAGATTTTGCCACACTAGCGAAAGATGATCACAATACTGCCGTGATCAGAAGCTATAGTTATGATGATATTACCGTATGATAAATGCACATAATGCAAAATTTATGATTACTAAAGCTAATACAGTAGGCCTACTGGTTTTCAACTAGGCCTAGCAAGTTCTTAATAAATCTTTGTATAGTCCATCTTGGTATATCTTGGTAGGCTATCTTGGTATAACCAATGCTGAAAAACTAACGTATATGTGCCACCGAACTGCAGCGCAAGCTACTCTGACCAGGTACATTCATATACTTTTAGGTTGGAATTTAGTTACAAATTATACTTCAACACAGTATATGACAATTTATAATAAATAGCCTACAGTAATGATATTTAGTTCACAAAATAGAAAGAGTTTTAGAGACATGTCAAATTTAGTTTTATAAATATGTCCAATATTAGGAAAAAAAATAATATTATGTTCTTGGAGAAGTACCACACTCCAAACCAAACCATTCTGCCCTGGAGCGACTGCTCCACTCGCTCTGCCGTCGCTATGCCACTGTTCATAGAAATATAAAAAACCTCTACAGCTTGTAGAGGATAGTTTTAACCCAAACCTGTGGTTTTGGAGACCCTGCAGAGTCCTATTCTAACTTTAAAAGCCACATTTAAACAACAAATGAATAGTTGTATCAATTACAAAACATAAAAATAGGCCTACCCTTCCACAATCAGGAAACAATAAGAATTTGTTTAACTGTAGAACAATGGACAGTTAACAACTGAGATAAATTTGGAATAGGCCTAGTCCTATATCTTTGTTGAATTTAAATCTAAAGCTAATGTTGCATCAGCATTCAAATGATAACAGACAAACCAATGTTTTTTGTGTCCCAATATTACCTGTCCGGTAACAGCAAAGCCCTGAAGCACAAAGTTGATATCGACACCGAGACTGCAAGAATCACTGGTTCCGTCGACACTGACTGCAACTTCTGAAGGTTCAAAATTCCAACCCATGGGGGAAGAAACCTGAAATCATCAAGACACACGTGAGCCAGGGATCAATTCTTATTTGGGTTCAGTCTAATAAACTACGGTAAATGAATTTGACGAAATAAGTTCCCTATCAGGTGATATTTTGAGACTGTTAGAAAGGATCATGGAATATTTGCCAATAAAAAATAGACATTTTATGTGTGTTCTGTATTAAGACATGCACAGATTGAAGTTGTTGTTGAAAAAAATTGTTCTCTTCTTGATGTTGAAGAAGACCAGCTAACTTTCTGACGACGACCATTAATCAAAGCCTGGTGAACAAAGGCAGCTAGGCCAATATTTTAAAGACTAGCCTATACAAATTTTAGGGTATTAGCTCACATTTGAAATAACAAAAATTGTAATAATTGTTGCAGACAAGCCATAAATGGCATTGTAGCTAAATTGTATGCGTTTGTAAATTTGTATTTTTGGAAACTAATAAAAAATAACGTAAAAATGGAATAATAATAACATTTTAGATTTCAATCTTAAGGTGTAAAGTCGGTTAAAACCCTACAATGTCACCTAGTAAATCTATTTAAAACTTTACAGAACAATTAAAAAAATTACACATTTTTAAAGGTACGTATGACCAATTTGACAAATTACAAACAGTTAAGACAACATTTAAATCATCAACAAAACATGTTTCTACCTTGAAACCATGTTTGGTAAAATATTCTTATTTAGCCTATTCAGTTTTAATGTAACCTATCAGCACTAACCAATCTTATTCCCCTTGATAAATAAATACCTTAAGGACATATTCCCCTTTGTCATGAAGTGGTAAGAAGTAGTACCCGTTATTGGGAGCACACTCTGTTTCATACTTTAAACTTCCTTGTTTAGTAAACCTGCAAATTGATACATCACAGATAAATTAGGAAAACGATTTAATATTTGTAGTAGGCCTAAATACTAAATATTCATTAATTAAAAGACACAATCAGTTACAAATATCATAAGTCATCCTATATTGGTCTACAAATTGGCCACCATGAGTAACATAGCCGAGACTTCACTGACTATACTCAAACTACCTTAGCCTATAAGCATAATTAAGTTAACTGAACACAAATAAATGGGAAAGCTGTATAAGTTACTCAAACATCTTTATTTTTGACAGTTGGGAAAGTTGTATAGGTACAGACTGTCTTAAAATATAGTCCCTAAACCATTGTTTCATCAAATATTAAAGGGCTACACTTTAATATCTGTCCTACACTCATCCGAATGAATATATCGATCGATATATCAATTATTTCATTCGATAACTTATATCAAGTTTAGTTAGTTAGGTTAACCTATCCTACCAAACTAAAAATATAAAAAAAATCTCTAGTGTTCTTCTAGACGCACAATTGAAACTTATACTTTATCATAAATAGACATATAGGCTACACTAAGCATGTAGTAAATTGTTGACAATGAAGGCCTAGGCCTACTTACATTTTAACCTCAACCTTTCCAAAATCGATAGGACCCACATTGCTTTTAACAAAACCATTGCATCCCCAGACTTCATCTGCCAATATCTGAGGCAAAAATATCACATTCAGAATAGTTAAGAACAGAAAAATATCTGTAAAAAACATTTTATTACAAATTATGCATTGGTAACTAAGGTGAAACCGATGTATTTATAGGTTATGTCTATGACAAATTGTTTTTCATCCACCCCTTTTCTTGTGATCTCAATCAATAACTATGGCAGCTGATGATACTCCATGGAACTGCGGAGTATGCCAAAGATTAAACATTATAAGTAGTAAACATGTTATTATTAAGAAGTCTATCTTAAATTTATTTGTAATCTCAAAGTAAGTAAACCGCTTTCGTTGTTTAATTGTAATTATGAATTATGATATTCGAGTTTCGGAATTTGACTTTTGGGACCAACTGTTATATCAATCAATATGTATGTTAACAAACTGAGTACCCATTTGAATGATAATTGGGTGAAAATTTCTTAAGCGATTTGTTATACGACCGTGAAAAACAATTTATTTCGAAGAAAATTAATTATTCTCACTAATTTCTATATATGACCACAGGAGGTGAAATTCCAGGGGTAAAAATCCGGGGGATAAAAATCCGGGGGGTAAAATTCCGGGGGTATAAATCCGGGCCGTACATTTTACATTGATCTCATGAAGGGGGTAAAAGTCCGGGGGTAAAATCCTGGCCCGTAAACTCTAGGTTTTATAATTTGATGTGTTCTGATTAAATTCACAACCTTGAAAATATACGTTTGTTCCACCTCCAATTTATTAAACTGATGTTGTGCAACTCAAATTTTCACGGCCGGAATTTTACCCCTTGGTTTGTGACGTCAGATTTGCTCAGCTGGATAAAGTTCCGTTCCTCCTTAATTTCATCTAAATTCTTTATGACAGCGACACTTTTTATTCTTTTATACTTTTCAATTAAATGGCGACCATACAAAGTAGGTATTTGTAGCCAAGTCAGTATGAATGGAGATGAGTGATGAGTGTAGGAACACACAATTTGGTGGGTATTTTCACACCAATATATTAATGAAAGGTGAATGTAGAAATTGTTATATAGGTAGTCAAAGCGTGTACTTCAAATTCAACTTTGACATTTCTGACAGGGACAGGGATGTGTTGTTTATATGGTAGAACCTTGATAAGAATTACTCTCATGAGGATAAATAAGACTTATGTTTACCAAGGTTGACTTACTATCGAGGTTTTTTACAACGTGTGATTAGATTAGGGGTAAACTAAATTCCATAGGGGATTTGAACATGACACTTGTAATCTAGGGTGACTTGTCATCGATGGTCTTCTATTGAGGTTTTACGTAGACTTCTCATCCCATTGTAAATTTTGAAGCACGTTTTTCGTGTCTAGTTCATGTACGTGACACAAAGGCGCTAGTGTCGATGAAACTTTGTTTCCATTATTTTAGGGTTAATTTCTTGATTAGTGCTTTACTGTTTGGTTATATAACTAGGGGACAAGTTATTGTTTATGATTAGATCGTATTATTTGGTTAAACGAGGTTTTAAATGGCTGTAATAACGGGAAACAAATTGTAAACAAAACACGACCTCTCTATAAACCGTACATGAACTAACAATAAACTTGTCTTCAGCTGTTCCATAAGGATGAGAAATCTACTAAGGGAGTATGTTTTATCTATGGTTTTACTGTACTTTTTACGTAACTATAGACTAAGTTGGTACGAATTGGACGTATTTTCCATAATCGATATGTTTTATGGCCTTTTTCTTCAACGCAATTATTACAATGTTCTCTCTTGCGTTGCCACTTTACCAACTATCCAGTGGTTTACCCTACTTACAAACAAAGCAGTGTAAAGGAAGTGGTTAAAAATGCAGAGTCAACAACGACAACAACTGTACATATTATTTCAGTGAAATTTGGATGCGATTGAGCACATGCACATTTGGTTTTAAATCATCTTTTTAATTTATAAATTGCGAATGATTTGTTTACCGAAGAATTAAAACACTATCTATAGTATGCTACTAATAACCCGTACAAAGTATAACTGATATATCAGGCGTCGACCATATTTCCGAGTATAGTAGTTTTGTTGTGTTGTGTTTTGTTTTTGTTTTTATCCTGTCTCCTGTCCAGGTCAGCTGATAAATTAACTGTGCCACGGCAGCTTGGACTTGGAAAGTAGACCATGGAAATAAGAATATTTTTAGTTTTGTTGTGTACCTAGAGTTATTTGCGAAATCGAAATCTCTTTTCAATAAGGTTCATACATTTATGTAATCAGGTAAGTTACATTTTTCCAAGAATACATTTTTTAACGAATATACCACAAGAAACGTTCATATTAATAATGAAATTTCTGTCATGTTTTCATAAGGGTAGACTTACAGTAAAGACAGCACTGTCAAGGGGTTTGTTTATAATAGCAATAGGGGACTAATGCAATTTATTGACTGCACATTCACTTTTAAAAATTCACACTAGTTTTGTTAAATTTTAATTTTAGAATGATGTCTTTAATTAAGAACAATTTTCAGTTTTAAAAGTCATGTCTGTTTTTAAATTAGTAGCCTAGTCTAATAATTCTTCCAATGGAAGAGTTTATTTTACCCATACCTAAGTTAGTCTTCAAGAGATTTAGGCTACATTTACTAAGTTACTAGGCCTTGGCTATAATGAGAATGCTCTTTTTGCTAAAAATTGTTTTATTCTTCAATTCTCTTTTGACTGTAACAATTTCCACATTCTCATTAGGTACCGTAGCCTAGTAAATAATTATTATTAGGCCGAAGTTACTTACATTCAAATAAAGAGTTTTGAAATAGTCTTTCATTTTTGTTTTTGACGACGGATACGGAAGTGTACTGTACGTTTTAATGTCCTCAAAGGCTATTTAATTTAAAAACATTATTCGTTCAAATTTATATGTAGGCAAAGGCCCAAGAGGGATGTGTCTGTGAACACGATAACTTTTAACTCGAGTAATTTTAAGAAAGAATTTTGTACATTAAAGGGTTGTTTTAAGATTAAAGGCTACAGAGAAAATTAAAAAATACTGTAGGCGGGTACATAGGTAGGCCTAGACTTTTATAACTTAATTGGGCCAAAAACAACCGAATCAAAAACTTATCGATCGATATATCGATTATTTCATTCAATAAGTTGTATCAAGTTTGGATAACTTAACTTAGTTAGGTTAGGTACCCTAATGAATGAAATAATCTATACGATATTTTCATTTGGTTGTTTTTGGCCCCACTTATGAAAGTCTACCCCTGTAGGCCTAAAACATTCAACTATGTTAAGTTATTATTTTTTTTAAAAAAGAACACTTTTGTATTTGCTTGTTTATAAGTTATGTTGATCAAATTTGGCATAAGTTTAGGCTGCTATTTATTTATTTTATCCCATACTATTACCATTTGGACAAAAAACATTTTTTAAGTTACCTTCCCCGTATTTGCAAACAACAAAGGACGCTCATGAAAGTTACCTACGGGAGTAAACAAACTATACAATGACGAGTAAAAAACATTTTAATAGGTAGGCTATCAATAAAAATGTAGGAAAACATTTTTTTATAAGTTATTACACTAAGTTTATTAATTAAGTTGTATATATACCCCCGCCACAGTAAACCTGAATAAGCGAATTTCCATTTGCCTGGTTTAATTTTCAATTAAATCTATTTCAATATCATTAGGCTTAATGAGTAGGCTACCTAGGTATGCTGCTACAGGGAGGGTAATAAAGTGTGTCTTTTAGTAAAACATTAAACGGTAATAGCTTAGTATAAATATATAATAAATAAACTTGCCAAGTTTGATCAAAAGATATTCATAAAGAAGCAAACTACAACAGTTTATTTATTCTCCATAAAAATAACATCAAAATTTAAAATTTAAAATTTTTTTCTCCGTAACCAATAACTATACAAAAACACTTCAATATACTAAATTATTTGGCTATTTAACCTTTCAAAATGGTCTAGAGAGAAATTGGGAAATTTAATGTTTTGAGGGTGAAAAATGAGAAAAACTCATTTTTTAACCCATAAATCCCCCCATAAAACCACGTTCCCATGGTCCGATCATGCTGGTTGGCGAACTTGTTTGTATAAATGTAGGTTTACACGTTTGTACCAAATTTCATTAAAATCAGATCACTTTTGCTTTATCATGCTAACGGACACATAGGGATATAGCCTACCTATATTAATATATAGGTAAAAGTCCTATGAATTTGAACGGATGATGTTTTTAGCCTCTGGGGACATCAAAACGAAAAAGTAAATCGGTCCTGGATCCAGGTCTTACCATGAGACCTACGGTAATAGCTTAATTCCCTATATGGGAAATTCGCAAAAAAATAGAAAATGTTAGCCTATAAACAATAAGAATTCGTAAGTTCTTTGGATAAAAAAGACTTACTTTTTGTACATAGGCCTGGATACAGTAGTAACTTACTATCCGGTATAAAATTAGAAAAAAATTGCTACCGGTATAGTGTATATGACATAAAAACACAAACAAAAAAAATCATTTGTTACAAGGACAACTCATTTTGTCAAAGCTCTTTGACAAAAATTGCATTATTGTATGACATAAAAACCCTTATGGTCTTATGAAAAAAATCATTTCTATTTTGTCAAAGCTCTTTTTCTCGAGAAAAAAGGTCCTGAAGTAACTCACCCGCAGGGCTTTCCACTAAATGCTGTTCCCTGTCCTCCCCTTCAACTCTAGCCAACAATCATGCAATTTATTCTTCTTCATCCATTCTATAATATCACAAAATAAAGTCAAACACAAGGGCGCATACGGAACTAGGCTGCAGGAAACCTGTTACATCATAGGGCGCTCACGGAAGCTACTTCCAGTAGTGACGCGAACCACTCACCAAGTTCGACTGACAACTGGGAAAGGGGTAAGAGTAGCCCAAACCGATCCCTGAAAGAGGTGCGTGAGGTGCGGCAGGCTACAGCCCTGCCAAACAAAAATGATGGTTTTTTATAACGAAAAATGTAGTGACCCGGAGGTAACTTCTGTGATGCGCCCGATGGAAGGTTAACTGCAATGTAACTGAACTAATGTTTAATGGTCTAAGGTTTAGTGAAAAGTTATCTTAAAATACCGTGCTAGAGATCCAATTGCGTTG